CTGTCCTTCTAGTCTGTTTGTTTATCTGAACATCTTTATCATAGCACTCAGAAAAATGCTTAATTAGACATGTTTGTATAGTACCATGGTAGTAAATAATCTCAAATTACAGGGCTATGTTTTCAAAATTTCTAATAGAAAAATACATTGCTAGAGAATGTTAGTAAGAGTCAATCCTTGACATATATTCTAATTGGTATTTTGTGATTTTAATGACTAAATTTTGATAAGCATCAGTGTTAGTCCCGCTTCTCTGCCCCAGATTGTTTGTTTTTTATTCTGACCATTTGCAGGCTTTTTTTCACTTGCTCCATCTTCCTTTATTTTTGTCTGGTTCAAGAAGAATCATGTCCCATTCTCCCCTGCCTGCAAAGCAAAGGCTTGCCTTTGCTCTTCTCAACCTGCACATGGCAATTATAATCAGTAATGAAAAGTCAGCAAATAACAATTAAAAAGTTGCTTTTCAGTAGAATGAATGCTGGATCCTCTTGAGCAAGCAGGGCTGGTGATGAGCCTGTCAGTCAAGAACCCTCATGCTTGGCAGGCCGATTTACCTCTGATGTTCCTGTTCGTTCTCCATCATAAAATAAAAACACTTCACTTGTCAAACATCTTCCTTTTCTGGGATGCGTCTCGCACGCACACTGCTTGTCCATTTGAAACTCAGCTGTGCCTCTAGCAGGCAATCTGACAGCTCAGCCAGAATCTGTCCTAAAGAGATTTCCCAGTAGCCCACTGAAGCATCTCAAAAACCTGGGGTCTGCACAATGAAGATATTTTTTATGCATTATTTCTTTTAACAGAGAATTAACTCTTTGCAAAACAGAACAGGACTTTTGAGTTCTTTAAGACAGAAAAAATCCCTGGTCTTCTAGACACTGAAATATTTAGGCTAATCTCTAATGTCTTGGTCCTGTAACAGCTTGTTTTGAGTAAGCAAATCTAGAGATGTGCTAATGGTGGATCTGGCCACACAGGCTCTGTGGATTAGATTGCTCCACAGTGACTTTAACTTTGGGGTAATGTTCCAGACCATACTGCCTCACTGTTTCCTGACTGCAGTCATCAGCATTTCTCCTTGGTTCAGCTCTGAAGCTGATAGCCTTGCTGTATGGCCAGGATGGTCAGCCCAAGCTCCTGCCCCAAAGACAGGTGCCTCAGTAGTTCTTCTCTCATCCAGCCTTTAGGGCAGCAAGAAGGGAAGTGAATACAAAAAGAATCAGCTTATACCGGTTCTTTCTAATTCAGGGGTAGAGGACTTTGCACAAAATCACATAATATAGTGAGTTGTGACACACAAAGGGCAACTCCTGGCCCTGCACAGCACCCTGTCCAAAAATGATACCAAATGCCTGAAAGTATTTTCCAAGTACTTCTCGAGCTCTATCAGGCTTGGAGCTGTGAGCACTTCCCTGAGGACCCTGCTCCATTGCCCAGCCTCCCTCTGGGTAAAGAACCTTTTCCTAATATCCAGCCTCAATCTCCCCTGACACAACTTCAGGACATTCCTTTGGTCCTGTCACTGTCACTGTCACCCAGAGCAGAGATCAGCGCCTGCCCCTCCTCTTCCCCTCACGAGGAAGCTTTAACTGCAGTGAGGTCTCCCCTCAGCCTCAAGAGGCCTCAGCTGCTCTTCGTATGGCTTCCTCTCATGGCCCTTCACCATCTGTGCAGTTCTACTTTGGACACTCTCTAATAATGTCTTTCTTACCCTGTGGCACCCAAAACTGCCCCCAGCACTCAAGGGCTTTCTTACCCTGTGGCACCCAAAACTGCCCCCAGCACTCAAGGGGAGGCTGCCCCAGCACAGAGCAGAGCGGGACAATCCCCTCCCTTGCCCAGCTGGCAATGCGGGGCCTGATGCACCCCAGGACTTGGCCCTCCTGGCTGCCATGCTGACTCATGTTCAACTTTGCCTTGACCAAGAATACCAAGTCTCTTTCTGTGGAACTGCTTTCCCACATCTCTTTCCCTGCTCTGTCCATACATCCAGGGCTGCCCCATTCTAGGCACAGAGCCTGGCACTTTCTGTTGTTGAACTTCATGTGGTTTTTGATTGCCCAGTCCTCTAATTTGTCTCTCTGCAGGGCCTCCTGGCCTTTGGGAGAGTCAACAACTCCTCCCAGTTTTATATCATCTGTGAGCTTGCTTAGAATTCCTTCCAGTCCTGCATCCGAGATATTAATGAAGGTGTTGAAGAGCACAGGAACAGAGAACCCTCATCCACCCCACTCAGTCATCCTGGTAAGACAGGTACCTAGTGCTTTTTAAAGAGACCTCCCAGTCTGGGGACAAACTGTTTATTGAGAGAGTTGCTTTCCAGTCCTGAGTTGCCAATGATTGACTTCTGCTCTGCAGCCTCAGAGATTTTAGCAGTACCATTAGGATTTTGGAGAAACATGGACCAAAGGGCCAGATCTGTGAGACTAGAGGTTGCCCAATTCGGTGTATTTGAAGCTGCAAAACCGGGACCACACCCAGGAAGCTTGGGGGATGTTAATTATAAATCCAAATGCTAATTTTACCTCTTGTCACTACTGGAAGGATAAAGAATGACCAAACTGCAGTATGGTCAGAATTTCTAGTGTGAACTGCTCTTTCCCCTGGAAGTTTGGCTTCTGTAATTCGTTAAGCTCTGCAGATTTTCCAATTGGTCCCTCCCTGCAGCTGCCCCAGCTGCAACTCTCAGTGAGAAGCTGGTTTTGCTCAGGAATCTGGAAAATATTTTAAGGCCTGAGATTCCTGCCATACAAATGAAGGTGTGTTACACATCTTGTTCTGAAAAATCACCACCATTCAATTAATCAGACAGTTATTCATCTCACACTGTAACTGTAGCCTGTAAGCCACTCCTCTTCTCCTGGTGTGTTGAATGAACCAATCTCATATTTAAGAATTTGTCAACAGTGTAGCTGGATGCAACAATTTTGACAAAAGTTTTCCAGCATGGGATTTTACAATGCATATTTCTTCCTATGACCTGCAGTGAGAAGACAACCTTAATAACTTGAAAATACGTGTTTTTCCTCTTGCAGTTTATACCTGGGAAAGAGAAACATGGTAAAGTGATTTTCCTTGCTCACCTGGGAGGACAGTTGGAAAACTGAATTGAAATCCAGAGTTCAATTCATCAGCTCATACCCTGGGCAATATTGTCCACAATGGAGACTCCCAGTGTACATAAACTGGGATGCAAAAGGGAGCACAAGACTGATTTCAGGAGATGATGCAATGCTTCTCAAGCTCAAGGCTGATGTAAGCTAACTGTGGAGCAAAGTTAGCTTGTCCTGTTATGTCTGAGGAAACTGAAAACAACCATTGACAATATAAAGTCACCTCTTCATGTTCTAATTAGCAGTTGGTTAATATTTAATATAACATATGTTTTAGCATTACAGTAATGTACCAGGACAAAGGGCATCACTATTTTGATAAGTGTGTGAATTTTCAGCAGCAGAGAGGGAAGGCAGAGGGAGATTCTTATATTTGAAGTAAATAAAAGGATTTTCACACACTATGGCCCAAAATTATAATTTTCTTTTTTTTACAATTATATTAAAGACAAACCAGATGACTCTTATGTTGGCTGAAGACCCTAGCTTATGATTACTCAACTGAAAGCTTTTGCAGCTTAACAAATTACCACCCATCTGGTAAGCCATTCTATCTAGCCCCATGTGTGCTCTTAGCCATCCTGATATCGTGAATTAGAGCACATCAGCATCAGTGGGTTGGCCTGTCCCTCAGAAGTGCTAATGCCATGTGTTTGGAAGGGTGACAGCACCCTTTGGCCAGGTGGTAGGAGCACACAGCCATCTGCTGAACTTCTGAAACATGTGGCAGAAAGGACTGGGAGTTATTGTCAAATCTCCACCTTCTGCAAGACAGATCCTGTGGGGTGAGGAAATGACAGGAGCTGCAGTCACAAAGCTTTCTGGGATCTGACCCAGCAATACCTCTGGCAGACACCTACCATCTCTCCCACATGTCCAAGCCTGATAAATCACACCAAAGGCAAATAATAATGGCCAGCTGTTTGGTTCATTGGACAACAAGCTCTTTTCTTACCCATTTCAGTTACTTAATTGTTTTGAGAAGGCCTTTAATTTGCAGATTGTACCTTGAGTCAGCCTGTATGGATGATGCTTGATGGAATCGATTCCCCACATTAATAAGAAGCGGCAGTGCCGTGGTGTTCTTGTAGCCTGCACTTTCAGACTAAATAGCAAGCATCAGAGAATGGCAGGACAGAGGGGACAGTGGCATTGAAGACATTGATCTGAGCTACACGTGTCTCAGAGAATTGTGTGGTTTTCTGCTGCAGACACAATCAAATATGCCAAATGGCTGCTAAAATGTAAATGTTAGCAGTCAAGGTCACCTTCCAAGGGATACCAAACAGTGTGCCCCAGGCAGGCCCCATTAGTGGCAGCACTGACAGCATTCCTATCACCATCTCCTCCCCCAGTTCTTTGCTTCGTGCTGAGAAATATTCCAGAGGCAAAAGTCTTTTCCATCTGATGCTAAAAAGCTGTTCCCTTTTCCCACCCAGCCGAGGCTCAAGTTTAATAAAAATCCTCATTAGTTGTCATCTAAATATGCAGGAGGTCCATGCCAAGTATTGCAGCTGAGTTAGGGAAAGCCAAAGCAGGTTGTAATTAAAGATGGGGCCAGAACAAAACCTTGGGTCACAAGCCTATACTCCATGGAAATTGGGATCCAAGCTCTGAATGCCATTGATCAGAATGATCTCTTCACTCAGAGCCCTGGGTACATAACTGTAAACCCTTCAGAGCAACCCTTTGATTCAGCCACCCTGTATAACATGGTGGAGTTTCTCTGGCTGCTTCATTTTAATTATGGGATAGGAATCTTCAATTAATACAACATGACAGTGAAAATATAATCAGTTGAGTGGCCCCTGTTGTTTGTTCGCATGTTAATTTTGCACGCTTTTTTTTTTTAACACTCTTGTTTTTTAATTTTGTGCAGTTATGCCTGAAAGCCACTAGCAGCAGCAATCAAGTGTTCCACAAGGAGCCCGGGGGAACAGGGTGTTAATAAGTGCTGGTTTGGCTCTTGAGGAGGCACGGAGGTGCTTGGAGATTGTATAAAACAAACAAGGTGGCTGGGTTTTTCTGCTAACATGATCATTAGGGAAGGACTGAAAATCAATGATATCTTTTATTTCTGCCTTTATTATTTCAGGGTCAACAATGTACTGAGATATGTGGGATCAACAAGACACAGGTTTGTCATATAATTTTCCCATGGTTAGCTCTATTAAAAGTGATTCATTTTTTTTTAAAGAAAATCTCAATTCTGCAACAAAGATAAATTTTTAAATCACTGTGAGACCTGGAGTACAAAAGAGAAATCCTGAATCTGAAACTGTGTGGCCAAGTGTGCTCACCTTTCCTTATAATTTAAAATGCAGCATTGCTCCCTGTTTAAATTTCATTTCTTACTGTGCTTTTGTAATGAGGTGCTCCATCTGCACCACAGTTTCCTTTCTGTCCAGGAGAGCTCTTGGGTTGCAAAATCCTGTGACTTTGAGCAGTGGAGTTGCTGGTGGCAAAAACTGAAGCTGGATCTTGAACATATTATCACATTCCCATAAAATCCTCAAGACACAGGTTCATGTTAGCATTCTGCTATTGACAAAATATCATCTTGCCAAAACATTTTCTTCTATTGAGCCTATGAGTTTTGGACATGCTGAAAGTAATTTAATTGAACTTCATGAAAATTTCAGCAGAAATAATGCTTCTCAGCTGATTCTGCTTGCCAGCAGCACATTAAAAGCTCAAAGGAGTCTATGCAAGCCTTAAAAGTTGCTTTTCTGAATGACATCTGTGTTACACTGAGAAAAAATAATTTAAAAAATTTAATGTTTCAATGGTCTTAAAAATTCAGCTTATTTTTCACTAAGCAGTATTTTTCCATGAACTACCTGGAAACTCTTGGTCATAGAATTAGGAGCAGGTTACAGTGGATGTGACCACAGCCAGAGCTGTAGCTCCTGAACTCCCATGTCTGTAGGTTCAGACAGTGTTTGTCTGAATCTCTGTGACAAGCTCTAGTCAAGCACGTGCACACAGAGCTATTAGCTACATGCAGCACAAAGCACTAGGGCTATTGCTAATGGTAATTGTATGATGTTGATAGCAGACTAGAACTCCAACAACCTTTAGAAAGCAGCTGAGAGCTAAAAATCAGAGCTGATGAACAAACATTAATATTTCCTTCAGTTGTGTGAGACTCCTGTGAAGATTTACATAATTAATCTTCAGCGACAAAACATTTAAAATGAAGTTTAATAATCTGGGTGATAGACAGGTCATGTTAATTACTATCTTGCTTCCTGGTTATAAAAGCCATTGTTTCCAAGCTCTTAGTTTAGAAGTGAATAGCTTGTATCAGCTTGAAGACAGCAAGTGTGCAGATGATTAATGTCTGAGTGCTTGGCAGTAACTGGAGAACTGTGAGAGAGGTCCAGGCCCTTGCACTGCCACAGGCTCTACACATGACTGGGGGGAGCAAGTGGCTTTGGACACAGTTCTGCATTGATGATATCCCAGCAACCAATCTCTGTTACCCCAGTTGCAAGTTCTGTCACATCCCTCCTACAAATATAAACTAATTTTGAGGCTCTCTTCTAAAATACATGTGCCAAACTGTGTGTGGCTTGCAGTTTTTCCTAGACTTTTTTTGTTGTTGTTTGATTTGGTCTCTTTTAAAGATACTTACTTGAATTTATTTTTTTTTTTGTTAAATCTTATTGTGTCACAATCTGCTGAAGAGACGGTGCCTTTTTGTGGAAGGAAGGAAAGAAGTGTACAGCTGGAGAGGGATTCTCGGTCATTGTGAAGAACTTGTTGCCAGCCTAACTATATGAAGCCTTTTGTAACTCTCACTTGCAAGGCAAGTGTAGAGGAAGGATTTCAAGGACAAAAACAAGGCATTTTTTTACACCTGTTAGGGGACATGCTGTTCGAAACTCCAGGTGTTATCATGGAGGAGAATATGGTATGAAAGAAAAGGAACTTGTCTGAGATTCAAATGGAGCAGCAGAGATGAGAGCCATGGGCAAATGGGAGACAGAAATCACCTTTTAAGTGTTAAAAAGAAAATGACAGCACAGGGACAAGCAATATCTCCACACAACAGAGAAAAGGCAGTCAGTGGAGGGATTCACAATGAGAGGTAACACGAGCAAACAGATAGGCTACAAAAATTATTTTTGCAGAGGTGCTCAGAGGAATACTGGCAAGGCAAGGCTGTTTTAATGCTAAAGGATGCAGCAAGAATGAGACCCAAGTTAATGAGCTCCTGGTTGAGGGTTTTATTGTGTAACTGGATAAGCAAGTTAGATTTTATTTTTACTTTAAAAAAAGAGGAGAAATTTAAACTAGGGGATGGGTGTAAGAAGCTAAAGAGAAGCTCACACATAGACTGTGAGTTTGATGCAAGGTCACTCTGTTATCCAATGGTTTAAGAAAGAACCAGCAGGAAAGAATGGGCTTTGACAGGAAGAGCTCTGCTGCTGTTTGGCATAACTCGCTGACATCTCCTCATGAATTGCTAACCAAGTAGATATTTTAGTTTGGACAGGAAGAGAACTCTTTTGTGCAGACAGCAGATTCATTGGTTGAGGAAAGAGTCAGGGAGTGGTGTTTGCAGAGCAGAATATTCAAAATTAGAGGAGTGCAGGAAAGAGGATGGCAGGTCTATAGAAATAAAAAAAAGGAGAAGATTTGGCCATGATCCAGGTGGCTGGAAAGCTGGGATGGCTGGGGCTGTCCTGGGGCAGGGATATACCAGAGATGCTTGATTCCAGCTGGGCTGGGAGTAAAGCCAAAGAGACAGAGTGGAGCTACTGCTTTTGAGAAAGGGCCCCAAAACCTCAAGGTGAAATGGGCTGTTTGGCAGGACAGAAGGTATGGGTCACACCAGTGAAATACCACTTTAAATTACTATATCTTATGACTGAATAGAAAGAAGAACATACTTGTTCTCTAACTCTAATAACCTGGCATTGTTCACTTCTTAGTTGTGTGTAAGCCAAGCTTCCCATCATGGTGGCTCAAACTTGAAATGACCACTGTCTCTAAGAAGACTAGGAGATAAAACCTATTTATAGCAGTGGACTCTCCCACCAGGCTGTACAACTAGGGCTTTCAAAGGAAATAAAAAGTGGTTTGCCTTCTGTGAGTCAAAGTCTGTTTGATCTTCTTACCTGAGTAACTCTGCAGAGCACATGCTGTAGGAATGACTGTGTGTCTTTGTATCCTGTGCTACCTTGGAATCTCTGCATCAGCACAAAGAAGAGCAGATTTTCACCCTATGAGAACTGGCATCAGACTGAATTAAAATGCTCTTGGGAACAGGTTTTGCTGCAGTCATTTGAGACTAGTGACTGAAAAGGATGGGGGAAAAAAATCAAATAGGGATTTCGATAAATAGAATTTCAGATCTTGCATAATACCATTCAATGGCAACAGCAGGTGTTTGACAGTACTGTGAACTTCCTCAGAATGGGATCCTGCCAACATGGCTGTGATTCAGTGCAATGATTCAATGACTGCAGGACGGTATCCTGCCAACCAGCCTTCCAGCAGAAAACTGTTCACCCCACTGCAAACACTGCCAGTCCATTAGCATTTCAGATTTAGTCTATCTGCGTGTTAGTAGAAAAAAATGCATCCCCTCCAGGTAATGGAAGGAGGAAGAGTGCGCAAAAATTCCCTTTTCTCCCGGGGAATAAAAGGAAAAATTATTAGCTGCAATGTTATCTCTGAGGAGGAACATGGGATATGGTTTTTTTTAAGCTCAGAGTTTGGAAAAAAGAAATAAAAAAATCTTCCTTTTATTCTTCAGCCCTGCTTTTCCTTCCACCTCCAACCAGGATCCTTGTCAAGAGATTCTCATCAGCTTCCACTTCTGCCTTCTAAACTGTGCAGAAATATTACCAACATCCTGAGATAAGCAAAGAAACTCAAGGAGCTGTCATTAGCAGTTCCTGTTACAGGTATTTTATCAGCTGCTACCCTGCAGCACCAGTGCCCTCCCAATGCCCACACACCAAGCCTCCCATGCTCCTGCAGCAGAGTCGTGCCCCTATCAGGAATATTCCCAAGTGCATGGCTCCTGGTGACACTTGGTATGGGTACAGACAGGAGCAAGGCTCACTCAGCTGTCACCCTCCAGCCGTGCACCAGCCTGTGACCAAGACACATGACATGAAACCTCCTTCAAGTAGACCCATGGTTAGGGGTGCAGCATGGCAGGAGCTTGCTCAGTTTGGTTCAGCTCTCCTCTCGCTCCATTTTTCTATTGTGTAGCAGAAGGAAAAGAGAGAGTGGAGCTGAGAAGCAATTCATGATGCTGCTACTGTGATCTTGTTGCAGCACAATGTTCCCATCCTTGCCCAGCCCTTTTAAGCCTGCTGTAATATGAACAATGATATACTCAGCTTAAAGAGACTTTGTTAAATACTTTGCTTTTATCACTGGTGCTATGTAAACTTCGGGGATCAAAATGGACTCTTTGAGAAGTGATTAGAGCCGGAGAGAAGGGTTTAGTGGTTTAAGCACCACATTTGCAATAATTAGGATCCCTGGAGTGATAGGTTCAAATCCTAGCAGGGTTGACTCAGCCCTTTATCCCTCTAAGGTAGATTAAATGAGTTTTCTGTAGTAGGGTCTTTTGGACAAGACCTTAAAAATGCACGGGCACATGAGTTTTCTCCTTTTACTGCAAGGATGAATTTTACAGAATGATAAACCAGAGATTCAGGTTATTTTACATAAGCCTAGCTGTCTGCCCAAGCGTTATTTGCCAAAACCTGTCTTCACTATTGCAATGACCATGTAGGTCTCCTGCTCACCAGACTCCTTCCCAGAGGGGCTCCTTTGTGGTGAAACATGTAGTATAGTAATTGACACAGTTTAGGGCTAAGCAACGCAGTTTGAATGTCTCCTATAACTAAACAAAACCATCAGCCTCTAGTTTTTAGTTAACTTCAAAAATTAGTATTTTTTACTACATAGTGTTCTCTACCTTGAAGGTGACTAACCCAGTCATGAGTCAAAGCAGAACATGCACTATTGTAGTACCATAGGCTGAAGGAGAGTTAATTCTGTCTTCTTTAAAAAAAAAAATAGAAAAAAATTATTTTCCTAAGGTAGTTACTGCTATGGGGGGGAAGGATGGGAAGCATGACTTTTCTCCTCATTTATTTGGTCTTTATTTGGCTTAGGAAGCCAAGCTCATTTTCACTGGGGGACAGCTCAAGACAAAGGCTCAGAGCAAGACTTTGGGAGTCCCCTTCAGAGAAGGGAAAAGAAGATGAATCATGGAATCACTTAGGCTGAAAAAGACCTTTAAGATGATTGAGCCCAACTGTTGACCCAGCACCACCACTAGCCCTAAATTCCAATTGGATTTTGGCCCCTTTTTGTCCCTGCACAACCTCATGTGACATCCCAGTAGTCCTCCTAAGTTGTTGCCCCTTCTTCCAAAGGTAATTTTTTCTTTAATTTCAGCCAGAGCTCTTTGTTCAGCCAGGCTGGTCCTCCCCACCTCCCCACTTGTCATTTGGCACATGGGAGTGCTCTGCTCCTTCACCACTAAGATTTCCTTCTTGAAGGATGTCCTGCTCTCCTGGACTCCTTTGCCCTTAGTTTTGCCTCTCAAGGTACTCTCCCAACCAGTCTCCTAAACAGGCCAATGTTTGTCCCCAAGAAGACCAAGCTAGCAGTTCTGCTGATCCTACTCCTTACTTCTCCAACAATCTCTGTCACTTCATGATTGCCTTCCCTAGTTGCCTTGCTCACCAGTTGTATCAGGAGCCTTCTAGAACACTTCCTTTGTGCTGTTTCATATTTCCAGCAGACATCTGATAAGCTGAAGTCCCCTGTGAGATCAAGGGCCAGTGATTGTGAGATTTTCCTAGCTTTTTAGAGAATATTTTATCTAATTTGTCAGGATCATGCCAGCATTGGGGCCGCTTACCCTGTGACTGAAGAAAAGGCTGTTTCAATCTTATGTCCTAGGGCTTCCCTTGGTGCAGACAGAATCATGTAGCCAAAGAATATGACTGTGCAGAGAGACATTGTGAGAGAAACATAAAGGAAGGTTTCTTGTAGCAAGGGGCATGGGTAGGGGAGAAGGCAGGTGGAGAAAGGTGCAGAAAAGGAAAGGAGAGTGGTTTACAGGACTGTTTAGTGAGCTGTAGATATCTGAGGGGACAACTGACTGAGGTTATAAAATTATGTGAGACAACACAGAGAACAACCATGCCAAGGTGGACAAAAGATGAGGGAGGGGAAATGACAGGTACCAAAGACACAGATATTACTAAATGAAAAAGCATTACAGCTTTCCCTCTTGGATTTTGCTTTCCTAGTGGGGAAGGAGTGCAGTAGAAATGCAGGCTGTGCTTGGTGACGAGCCCTCCCTGAGCTCCCGTCCTCTTGCAGTTCTCCATGGCCTGGAGATGCAGGGACCGTAGACCAGGCTGGCACTTTATTTGCTCATCCCAGGTGTTCTGTACATAACTCTTTTCCAACAAAGATAACCAACTCTCATGCAGTCAATATGGGGGAAAATGAGGAGAGGGCTGCAAGTATGACTGAATAGCAGTCGAGTACAGCTAGCTAATTGCAGCTTCATGTAATCGCTTTCATAGTCGCTATCATAACTGTATATATTTCCAGCTCAATTCGTCTATCTTTTCCGGCCTCCTGTCTTCACAGCTGCCTCCTCTTCTCTCCTTCCTGATGGCTGCAAATCTCTGCTTATCACCCATTTTCATGCTGTGTTTTGTCTGTCTCTTTGTGTTCATCCCCGTACCAGTTTCTTGTCTGCATGTAGCAGTTTCTTATTTCCTGGATGTTGTGAGAGACTTTAGTATGAACCACTTGCTTCAGTTAACATAGATGACCTTTTGCTTTATTTTGTTTTTCTGGATGATTTAATTTTATATATGTTTACACTAAGGACTAGTTTTGCAACTGAAGTGGTCAATATGGACGGGCAACTGCTATGTGACTCAGTATTAAAACAATTATTTATTTATCAAATTTCTTTTTGTATGAATGTATCCATCCACTGCATGAATTTTTCATGCAAGCTCATCTTGAAAAAAAAAAACATTCCCTCCTCTCAGAAAGGATTTGAACTCTTTAGGGAATTCCCCCAAATTCTCCTGGTTTTTTTCTTTAATTGAACCCCACTGTGTAAGAAGAGCTCTGTCTACAATATTGATTGCAGAAAAACATGCAGACCTGTCAATCTCTCTTTTCCCAAGGCAAAACTCTCCTATTGTCTTTTTCTGCCAGGGTATAATCTTCACAAAGACAGACTTCAAACAGTTAAGCTTTTTCCCATTGTATTGGGACTATATGTAGTGCTCTATTTTACATTAACATTTAACAGGTTTCAAGCTTCAATGATAAACTAGAAATGTTTTTCCTTCATGACAACTGTTTGACAGTTTTTAAAAATGGATATAAAATGGAAAATTACCCTACAGAGGAAATATTCCTTTCTCTTCATATCTCAGGCTGAGACATGGCATGAATGGAATAACACACTTATTACATTCTAGGCACTGAACATAAAAATGCATTGCCTCCCTCTATTCCACTTGATTTGATAATCTAGTACAATTTAGATCCCTAATAAATTAAATTGTTCGGAAACTTGGTTCACTGCCTAAACTCTGTGCAAGGCTGTGCTGTTTAATGATGCCTTACTTTCTTTCAGTGTTTTATCTGTGGGATAAATAATTCAGCCTAATAAACCCTGTGATCTGCAAGGTTAATTGACACCCTCAGTAATTCCCAGCTTGTGCTCAGCACCCATATTTGTCTGTCTTTTCCAGAGTCCTGTCACATTACCTAATCTGTGGAGCTCACCAGCCAGGTTCTCTGCATTTCCATGAGCCCTAATCATTGCAAACATCACTTCTGCTCCTGAACAGGCAAGTGCCTGAGGTCCACATGCTTGTTCCCTTTCCCCCAAGTAGTTATCTCGCTACTTGATTTCCAGGAAAATTCTAGGACAACTGGGACTAGACTGACACAAAAAAAAAATTTAAAAAAAAAAAAAAAGGTGAAAAAAGCAGAATGAAAAAATATTATGAAGATACACAGATATATTATCAGGGGGATTTATTCACAGGTGATGTGTCCAGCTGTACAGCAGGATGAATGTATTCTTATTAATTATTAAATTGCTCAGATGGTCCTCCTCCCCAAACCAGATATTTATTGAAAAAAAGTAATTGAAAAAGATTTGGCCAGTTCCACTCCCTGTGTTTGAGTGTTATGTAACAGACTGCTCCAGCCCTCTGCTCCCTCTCTCTCTCTCTCTCTCTCTGTGCTTTCAGGCTAACACACAGTTTATTGGGTATCAATAAAACATAAGAATTACTCCTGGTATAACAATAGCACCTCTTTGCAACCTTCAGCCTGCTTAGCTCCCAGGAATAGCGTGCTAATGAGGGTGTGCAGTGTTTTGGACAGATGCTAGAGTGTTATGCTGGGCTGATAACTGCATCTCTTGGATCAAACACTGTGCTGGGATGACTCATGCCTTTTACTAATTTATAGGAGCAGTCTTCCTTGAAATCCCAATGTAAATATTACCACCCCGTTCTCTGTGAGTGACTACATCCTTGAAGTCAACAAAAGTAATGGGCACTCTGTGTGGCGTAACGAGTCACCAACATATTTTTTTTTTGTCCCAGGATGAATTTTGGGTTGTTTTGCTTTGGTTTAAATTTGGGGGTTTTTTTCCCCAGGGGCTGCATGAACATAAGGGTCACATAGCCTGAAGAAGAGCAAAGGACAGTCCTCAAGGCAACACAAAAGGCTGAACCTTAGTTTTGTAAAGAGGGAGGGAGATTGAAGCTGTGTTACAAGCCAGATGGTTTGGACTCGTGTCATTCTCTAACTTAAAATCAAGCTTCATTTACTGTATGTGTTTCCTTTAGAAGACACTCCCCAGACAGGATGGTGTCCTGTTCACACCTGTCAGGAGTGAGGAAATGAGGATTTTAAAAGTCAGGCAGAGCTCAGTATGCTGAGTTTTCTATTTTGTCTGAAGAGGTGTTTACAAGTGTTTCTGTCTTCCTGGCTTGTATTGTTTTTTATGTCCCTGTGATTATCCTGTGTAAGCAAGGGTGTTCACGCACTGACATGTCAAGATAAAAATATCAGAGACCCTATTGTAATTTCTAAAGACATTGGGCAAATCTGAGCATGAAGACATGGTTCATACCTTCTCTCCCTGATGCTTTAGTGCTTTTTTCTCTCACTCAGCGCTTTAGCTGAGCACAAAACCAGATTTCCTAATTGTGTGAGCAAAGCCATTTTCTCAGTCTGTTTCAAGCACCTTTGCTTGTAGATCAGTGAGCACTGCTGTCCCCAGTGTGACACCCCCACTCAAGCTCGGAGTCCTGCAGGACAGGATGGGACAACTCACCAAGTCATGGCCCTCTCCACTGATTCTAAAGGAAAGGCAAATGACAAGCTCAGACTATATGCCAGATATTTAGGTAACTAAAAATAGTTGAGAAGATCCCCCAAACTGGAACTGATGAGCAGTGAGCTGTCAGCAATGCAAAGCTGAGATGTAAAATCTGAAAGTCCCACATCCCTTTGTTATAATTAATATCACAAACCGTGACAAATCTGTATGTGCTGCCAGTAGTTTTATGAGGTAAATAGGAATCTCTTTTTCCCTCATGTCTTGTGAGACAGCCATTTCAAGCAGATCCCCTTCTCCCAGATACTCCACGCAGCCCTCTGACCACAAGCTTGCCATCAGGGAGGCTCTACTCTTCCACAGCCTGTGTTAAGGCTACTTCAGGATTCAGATTTATTTTAATTCTTTTTTTTTTCTTTTTTTTTTTCCTCCAGTGTTTCCTGAGCTGCAATGGGGCTGGCACCAGCTCTAGAAGTCAAAATGTTAAAGGACTAAAGTAGATTGGGAAGGACTGACTCATGGCAAAGAGAAGTAAAATGAAACTGGCACCCAAAGCATCTTCAGACCACCAGCTACTCAACAGCATCTCTGCTGGGTTTGCTTATTTTCTGAAAACTAGCCATGTGCTGGAGGACATTCCCCTGGGACTTCCTGGTCCTGACAGGCTAACTATCCCAGCACGTGCATGGCAATTTTAGGCAGAAACTTTAAAATCCTGGATTAATTTTCTAGGCTGAATAGCTCCCTTCTCACAATACACGTGCAGTTCTTGCTCTGTGGTAAATCACAGTTACTCACCTGAAGCTCGCTGCAGTTGACTGATAGATAAAATACTCGTAGTCTATGTACAGAATGTGTGATTTGACAAGAAATAGAAACAGTTTTTCCCCTGCATAAAACCATTTTCCACCACCCAATTTAAAGGTATTGTCATGACCAAAATCACAGTTTATTACTATCTAAAAGTAGGTTTTGAGGAAGTAATATTACACATCTGTCTTTAGGAAGTGTTGCTGAAACTTCTGCTTTGGGAAGCTCTGACGCACACAAACTGCCCTCTTATATTTACCACCTATGCTGCTCCTTCTCTACAAAAACTCCCAATAAAAAAACCTTGGCAAAGAAGTCTCTGCTCAAACAGTATTTTGAAACAATGCCTCAAGGTTTCAGTAACCCTGTTGATCTCATATGGATTGTAGCCTGGTGTTTGAGGGGGACCACGTGCTGTGAAAATGCTCCAGGGCAGACAGAGGTAAGAGCCGAGGTGCATAGTCTTGTGTTATATATCTATCTAGCAGACATGTTTGTATGTCAAAGCTGCCATGACTTCTGAAAGCCAGTTTATTATTCCCTTTGAAAGTGCATTTGCCTGTCATCAGGACCTATGTGCTGATCAAAATTTCAAAGACACCAGAGGTCTCACAAGTCCCACTAATGATGAATGGGACAAATGAATGCACATTGAAAAACTGAACTCTTGTCCCTGGGTTGTTTGGGTTTTTTGACATGCTGTTCATACATAATTCTCCCTAAAGGTAGTATGGACTTGAGAATGCTCAGCTTCTACAAAAGTAAGGGTGAAGAAAGTGGTAAAATGTAAGTCTGTACTGGAAGTGGGGAGTAAAGAGATGAAGAAGAGGAGCAGGAATGCTATGCTGGGGAATATACCATGATGCATGTACTTGCTTAGGGCTTGATTTTAAAAGAAATCTGTTCCTAAAGAAAACAATGAGATTTTTATGTTCTGACTGACCAAAGCCTTGATGCTGTTCCACAGCATGAGAGCAGTATCCTTCCTTAGAAAGACATCAGCAATCCCAAGTGGCTATTTCTGCTTTTGTAGTGAGAGAAAATGGTAAGTGAAAGAAAGAAAATGAAATGTCTCTGACAAGAAAACAATGTGCCAGAAGCAACTCCTTTAAATACAGAAAGGCAAAAGGACAGAACTTCATTCATCCTCCATCTGTTTTGTGTTTGTTTGTTGGGGCTTCTTGCCATCTAATATTTTACCTTGTATTTATTTCTTTTTCCTCTTGAAATATTGTGCTTTACAGTAAGAAATCATAAAGCTGTAGAGGTTAGAGATGCAAGAAGCCTATTAGATCATCTGCTTCACTGCTCTTGGCCAGCAAAGAATTGCTCCCTATGGTACATTTTCTAATGTTTTGTCCAGCCTTGTAAAAATCCTGAGTGACCAGGCTTCCACCAGATCCCCCAGCAGCTTTTCTACAGCTGAGTACATCTTGAAAGGTTTTCCTGCTACTCACCCTATGGTGTCATGTTGCTAGTTTCACCCCATTTGGCACTTCTATTTCTATGTAGTAGTCTAAGGTGTTACCTCCCCCTTGGAATTCCTGTCTTCTGAATCTATACCTGCTTAGCATGGCTTCACATTAAAACAGGGCTGAAAGGACTTTTGTTGTTCATACAGACAGAGCTTTTAAATCTGCTTTGTAAGGCTGTCTGTCTAGGTTCCTGATATTTTTTATTGTTTTCCACCCTCCGTTTATCAATTTGTCCATGCACAGCAACTCCCCCAACTGGGTGTATTATTCCAGATACATTTGCATTAAAATGATGTAGAAAATAGATCTCTATTGCTTTAGATTCAAATATCTAGGGAACTTTACCCTAAAATTGCATCAACATTTTTGCAGCCAAACTGTAATGTGCACTTATGTTCAATTGGCCACCCACTCTCATTGCGAAGTGTTTCAGTATTCCTGCTAGCAGTTTGCCATTGACTACAAGTGTTTTGGAGGATTTTGCCTCAGGTATATTTTCATGCTTACAAGTGGAAACTCATCTTGTTATTTTCTCTTGTAATGTCCCCAGACTCAGTAGGTCACTCTGTGTTATTTCCACATTCTGACTGACCTTTCAGGTCCTCCCAGGCCAGGGTCATCTGTGGGAGCCCTTTGTGTACAGCTCATATTTCCTATATTATTAATAAGGACACTAAATCACAGTGTTTCTGACATAAACAATGTTGTTCTGGGTTTTTTTACTAGATGACTCTGATTTGTTGCCTAGTGCTATCTCCTTTCTCTGTGCATCTTTTGCTTTCCAGTTCAGATTCTTCTTTCTCTGGGAACTGTGGTGCTGCCCTCTGTACCTATTTTCTATTTTCCTCATTATGCTTTTTTTTCAGAGGATTTGTTGTTGTTGTTGTTGTCTTTCATGTTTTCTGGGCATATTATTTACAGCTGTATTTTAGCAAAATAGAATTAGAAGCAATGTTCTGGATCACTGAATCCAGTTCTCAGTTATTTCAGAGAGCTATGCCATGAAATCCCTTTAAAATATTGAGTTCCAGTTTGATGAAACTGTAAAACCAATTAAGTTTTCTGCTCCTGCATTTTCTACTACACAACCATTCTCCAGCTATCCTACAGGTAAGGGTCCAGCTACTAGACAGGTAAAATCCTGCTTCAGAATTCCAGACTGAATTTGCTTATGACCAGTTCTTATCTCTTGTCCAGGTGACATCGTTGTCCTGGAGCTTCAATAGCTCTTGTTCCTTTCTATTGCTTTCCCTTTCCCACCTTCAGCATATTTATGGATAGCAATCAGATTCTGTCTCAGCATTTGCTCTCTGAGTTTATAAATGCCAAACTCTGCCATAAGCTGTCTGATAAAAGGCAGTGTAAAAACAGCTGGATTAGGTTTCAGCAAGCTGTCCTGGGCATGGAGTTTTGCATGGGTTGTTTTATACCACTTTCTGCAAGGAAGTGGTATAAATCTTTTCAGGAAAACATCATGTTATTGTAACTGCAAGCACTGAATTTATGGTTCTTTACCATATAATATATATATAATTTCTTTCAGACTTCACTTTTGTAGCTGTTTCCATTCCCTGGATATTCCTAACATTCCTAACACCAGTTCTTCATTTGCCAGGTCTAGTTTTAAGCTGCCTTCTGTAACATGAATAATTAGAGTTGCATGCAAAAGTCCAGATTAAGTCTCCAAAACAGTTGTGTTCATGTATCAAGTGGGAATAGCTCAGTTGGCCTATCTTACCTATGGAAATGTCATAGCTATGGTCAACTGAATGTATCCCCCCAGCTCTTTCTTCCCTGTCATTCCCAGTTAGCAAACTTCAACTCACAGCTGGGTTTTTTTAAGTAGATAAACTCATATGTCGTGCTATTGCACCTCTTTCTGTTTCTGTTCATCTAGCCCATGAATTAACACAGCCCTTCCACTCCTTTGGAAGTGTGATCAAGTGTGACCTGATCCTCATTCCTAGGGTGATGCCTTCCAACTTCTAATATTCCTTCCCGTTGCTCCTGACTTACTGAATTTTCTGTTTTCCCCTGTGTATTATTCTGGAGTTCAGTGCCTTTGTACAGCTCCAGTTCATGACCATCTCAAATTCAGACAGCTTCTTTCACAGGGGATCCCAGACTTCCCTTGTGGCTGTAACTCTGTAGGTCATAAGCAACAGTGTCTTGGGTCTACCTAGTAAAGGGCAACTTTTGGGATTTCTGCATACTTTTTTAAACTCTAAAATGTTCTTTGGTTTTTTTGTTTTTCGTAAAGCTTCTGTTCACGCTGTCTACACAGTTATCATGTCCAAGGCTGGTTGTGGAATGTGACAGTGTCACTTCCCCAATGTACCATAGGATCAGTTGTGTTATGACCCTATTACAGGATAGTACTCAATCTCCTATTGAATATGTGTGGTGTTTAAATAAATAATTTGATTATTTGATACAGTCAGATATTTTTGTATCCTTTCCCAATCATTTGTTAGTGCCTTTTAGTGCAATTTTACGAAGTGTGTTTGTAAAATAAAAAAGTCCTTTGTAAGCTGCATAAAATTTCATATAAAACAAAGTGCTGTTTTCCCTTAAAAGTATGTCATAGAACCAGCTACATTACTTGTTCAATAAACTTTGTTGTACAGCAAGGAAAAATGTTAATTGATAAATAGTTAATAATTTGTATCCATTTTAGCAGATGTCCATGAGGACTAGACAGGAAAAAAACCTAGCAGTACAATTTTCTATTAGATAACCATGTCGATTTTGCCAAATTCCAGTCTGAACAGTAAAAGTAGCTCTGATATCAGACTATCCTGTTTTGAACTATCCTGTTTTTTGTATTTAAACATCAAGGTTTCTAGTGTTGAAGGCATTGTGTTCCTTTGAATTGTTTAATTGTGTATTCTATTTTATATTGTAACAACATTTCTGAGAAATAAAATTAAAATGAACTATCATTCCTAAAATCTTCAAAAAGTTTTTGTGAAGAATTTTGAAGTGTAAGGGTTTCATGGTGAAAACTTGTATGAAGACCTTGAAAATTTGCATTAATCAGAATTTCTTTTCTCTGCACAGATTCAATCTCAGCATAAAAATGCTCCAAAATTCAGCACAGCCTACTGTAGCTAGTAGTCCTGGGTTGGTTTCTTACCGAGGACTTGAAGATATAGACGATAATACTGAAGATTTTTCTGCCTGTCTGTCTAGACAGATGCAGTTTTTCTGCCCAAGGATTTGTATAGATTATGCAGCCATGCACCCCATCCTGCAGGTGTTTCTCTACATAGATGAGATGTTTCTTTTCCTAAGATGAGCTGTCAACATGTTTATCTGTAATAGCATCAGTAACAAGCTCAGAAAGAAGAATGAGTAAAACTTGTCTGGTGTCAGGAATGCACCTTGTACAGTCTAATTCTCATTGTGATTCCAACTGCCTCTTTTGCAAGAAAGTTGTCTTTGTCTTCATTTTCACCTATACTTCATCAACTCGTGTATCAGGTTCTAGAACTTACAGTTTTTAATATCCAGCCCCCAAGTGTTTCTGTGGAGAAAACTATTTGCTGAAAGCCTTAGTGATGGAAAGAAATCTAAAGCATAACTGACGTAAGATGTTTTTGAGCCACATAACAAAACTTGTAAGGCTAAAAAACAGAGAGAAAATACAATGGGACTTAAAAAGCAATTTTTTTTGAGTTCTCACCTGTTCTTTGCCTGAAAAACAAGAAAGAAACATTAAGTACATATAAATACATAGCTCTCCTTTAAACAAAAGCTGTGAGGAAAAGCTTTTCAAATGTCTTTATTCCCTGTTCTCTTTCATTTTTTTGCCTCTTCTATGTGCTCTCTGGTGTCACAACAAAAAAGCTTCTGGTCCCTTCATCTTTTGTTCTATTTTACCTTGACATCAAGTTACAGTGAACTAATTTGATCATTCTCATTTAACAGTGACATCTGTAAACACCAAAACCCTAGTGTTATTGTTACTAGGTGGTTTTTTTACATCAGAAGAGATTCTTCTCTCTGTACACTGGGGGTCTACCCTGACCAACCAGAGGGTACCCACCAGGACAGCCATTAGCTGGGGGCATCATGTTGTCTCACCAACCTCTTCCTGGGAGTTCAGTGCCCACCACTGTGGTCAGCAGCAAACCAAGACAAATCCCATCATCTTTCTCTGCCTCTGTTTCCCCTTCCACCCTTTTCCTTCTTTATCCTGCAGATCCCATTCCAGCAGAGAGCATTTTGTATGGTTTGTTTGTGTTTTACCTGCCCTGGTGGGCTCTGAGCTCAGTTGGGCTCATGAACATCTAATGACCTGACTAGATGTTCCCAGCTCCTCAGATGCCTTTTTTCCCCACTTGAAAACTGAAGGGAAAAAAATCAGTGAAAGGAATTGGCTGAGATCTGTGCTTTGACTTTCCTCTCCTCCTCTCTGCTGGATAGATATCTGTCTTGGAGAGAAGAAGGCTCTGAGTAATGGGGACCATAGTTCAGATGATTTGTAAATGTCTTGCAGTTACAAGTTTGACTTATATCTCAAGTTCTTCTTGTTCTTTCCCTCACACAGCTGCTCTGTGCCTGCAAACTAGCAGGGCCTCCTAAGCTCATCTTACAGCAACAAAACCAGCCCACGCAGATGAGGTCTTCAACACTTGCCTGATCCAGGTCACTGCACAAAGACATGCCAGCCTGCCAGGCTCATTTGTTGTTTTGGAAATGACCCGCCATGGTTTCTGCACTACCAGTTGGCCATGATCCATTTCCTGTTTTATGCATTCATCTCCTTCTTCTGCTGCCTGGTCCAAGAGATGCCAAGAGCATCATTTAGTGCACAGTACGTTGAGGTTTGAGGTCAGGATCTCTTTGTGATAATCTCTGCAACTGTTCTTACCAAATCATCTTACTGCCTACAGTGATGACACTTCTGGAGCAAAATGCAGGAAGAAAATATATACAACTCCAGGCAACAGAGTTCCATCAGAACTTGGGCTTTGGCCCAAGGACTTATGCAAAACAGATTTGTAATGTTGCAAATTTGTATTTTTCCTTTCTGTTTCAAGGAGGAAAAAAGCAACAGTTGATACTGCCATGAAGCTGCAAGCCTGAAAGACGGAGGAGTGGAAACTTCAGTGTCTTTAACAATGCTAATCCAAGCCTATGGACCTGTGAACCATGTTTGCAATCAAAGGCTCGTGAAATACATTGCAGTGGGCTGAATATTGTAAGCCTAACACAGGAAAATTCCTGCTAAAATAAATGGGATTTTTTTTTCTTAATCAGGTTTATGGGATTGGTTACTGCTTGAAAAACTACTGTTCTTCATCTCTGAAGACCTCCCTGCTGAGCTCTTCCTCTTTACCTGCTGCTCTTCTTTACATCTCTGAGATCACTGTGCTACCTGGATGGTGACATGCCATGTGTGTCACTGAGAGAGACTGGGACTCAACAGTGGAGCTGTAAACCCTGTTTGGGCTCCTGTGACTGCACAGGAGGCTGTGCATGTGCCTGAGCTTGGCCTGCACAGCACATGGACTGCGCATCATCCCCCTTCCCAGACCTGCCACTCCATTGTCAGCCTCTGATGATAGTACAGGCATCTCAGACAGAAATTGTTGCCTCTAATTTTAAAAGAAATTATGGGTCTGACTTCAGGTTTATTCTGAGATAAAAGTAGAAATGCTCAAACATTTTGTCCTGTACTTGCTTTGCCTAGCCAATCAAACAGAAATTATTACTGTGGTATTTGTATGGCTGCCTCAGAATCCAAAACCCTTATTAACTCACTCTGGTGCTAAAATTAAGAAAGCAAATCTATCAAAAAGCCTTTTATACCCTTCATGTCCATCACCTGAAGGGTATAAAACCTGTAGTTTAACAAGAAGAAAAAAGGAACAAGAGGGTAGAAGGTATTCTAATGGGTAAAGCAGCTACCCTTTGCACAAGTGGCTTTTAGGCCTGAGCATATGCATCTGACATACTCATTTTCTTAAACAGTTTATTTTCATGGATCTCTCCTCTGTGGTTGACATGTGTATATTGGAATCAGTTCTGTCTTATCATCATTGCCATGGTTACCTTATCATCATTATTGTATGTATGTGTCGGTATATTACTATTGCACATGTCTTACCAAAATTCCCTAAAGCAAGATGATCCCAGAACTTACTCTGTACACATCCCAAACTACTAAGCATTGATATATTTTACAATCTGTTTCCCCAGCTAAAACAAAGATGGCCTGAACTTCTCTGCTGAAATAAAGCTGTTTGCCCTTTCTGGGTAGAGAGCAAATAACTCCATGCATCATCTTCAGCATAAGCCAATTCCTTACATCAAATGCAAAAAAACCCCAAAAAACTCCTACTTAACTGGGCCTCTCAGCAGCCTGATTTTCCTTTATTTACATTACTACATTGCTAAAAATCACAAGATAATTGATATCTGCAGCAGCAGATATTATGTCAGCCTCTGAAATGAGGCTATCATGACGTAACAAATAGAGAGATCATTAGAGCAGGGTAGGACACATCTTAAATCCCAGGACAGAGAAAAGTTTGAGTTTGGGATGAAAAAAATCTTTGCTGGGGGCACCATGCGACAAGGCCATAAAAATTATCTTATGAAGAGAGGCTGAGTAATGTTTTTAAACCAAAAGAGGGTTGATTCAGACTAGATATAGGGAATTTTTTTTTTATGGTGAAGGTGGTGAAACACTGGAACAGGTTGACTAGAGAGGCTGTAGATGCCTCATCCCTGGAAACACTTCGATACAGGCAGGATGGAGTTCTGAGCAACCTGATCTAGTTGATGACATCCCTGTTTATTGCATGGGGGATTAGACTAGATGACCTTTAAAGGTGCCTTCTGACCCAGACCCTTCTATGATTCAATGATTCTATGCAGTCCTTCAGAATAGAATTGGGAAAGCCCAGATGCTAATACCTGGTTTTAATCCAAATTATGTATTAGCATCTGATGGACAAATGAATGCAGAAATTTTATTCTAAAGAGTGACTGCAACTTAGCTTAGCACTTACTACCAGATTTCCCATCCCATTTGTCTTTATTATAAGAACCACTCCTTACTACATGCACAGGCAGAGGCTTTGAATATGTTATGATAATGAATGCCATTATGAGGTTAGAGTACAGTGGTGTGAAGAAAGTGATTCATCACTGGGAAAAGACAAACAAATAAATTTATTGGATGATACAATGCCTAGATGCACGATTCTAGATTTATAAACAAGGGGTTATATATTTTTCCACAGTTTTAATCTAATATTACCGAAGTGGAGAATACCAAATACACTTAAGATGTTTATAATAATTCCAAGGATAAGAGAAATGTAATCTTAAAAAATGCAAGTAATTAGCAGAACCTCTAATAAGAGAGGACATGATAGTAGTAATTTAGCAGTGAAATTTTTTTCTTAAGCTAAGGTTGACTGGCAATTTGCAAGTGCAGCTAACTGATCATGGAAGTGGAAGTGGAAACTGGGAAACAATGTCACCATGATAAAGCAAGTACAGAAATCATCATAATTTTTAACCAAAGGCAAATAAGACAACAGTTGTCTTGTCACGTGTTCAGATTGCTTGTCACTACCCAGACCTGACAGTGATCCCATCATTCCACTATACCTGCAGTTACAGGGGATGGAAGGAACTACTCTTATGTGGTAAAATTGTCATGGCACAGTAGGGATATTGCTCTATCCTTTGCTGACATCCAGGAAATTTTCTCTGAATGTTTTTTATAGCCATTGCAGCTTTGGGATACCTCAGGCACTGTGATTTGCTAGGAAGGCTCAGCTGAATGATTGCTAAGTTGAGAATATCTTGGCACTGGAAGAAGGTCATTATTTTAATATGGCAGAGGTAGCAGGATTCTTGCTGCCAGCCAG